GGACCCAGCGGGCGGCCAGGGGGGGCTCCGGACTCAGCCCGCCTCCCGGGTCGGATTCCCTCTGCGGGTGTGTTCGTTTGCCCGGGACCGCGTTCAGATGCTTTACTTTCATTTGGGCGTCAATATTTAAAAACCTGTCATTTCCATAAAAACTCAGGTTTTAACTTGTTTTGAAAAAAACAGCTTTGGGCCCGGCCGCCGTGGCTCAGTGGGTGAGCTTTGACCTGTGAACCAGGAGGTCAGGGTTCGATTCCCGGTCAGGGCACAGGCCGGGTTGCCGGCTCGGTCCCCAGTGGGGGGCGTGCAGGAGGCAGCCGATCCATGATTCTCTCTCATCATGGATGTTTCTCTCCTCCCTCCCTCTCCCTCCCTCTCTGAAATCAATAAATATTTTAAATAAAACCAGAATGTTGGGCAACCCAAGAGCCTCATTTCCCACTTTCCCGGGAGGGGCAGCCCAGCCACTACCCGCTGCCCCAGGGCGGGCGTTAGGAGGCCTTTATCTTCACAAGTGGGCGCTGGGTAGATGCGGGCGCCCCGCCTGCTGGCCCTGCTGGCCCAGGGAACACCTGGTGGAGCAGCAAGTGGGAACTAAACCGCGAGGAACCGTTGGCGGCCCCTGGGAACTCCTCACTACCTAGGCAAGTCAGGGCGGGCTTCCTGGAAGAGGTGACAGCCAAGGAGGGGTTGTTTCAGAAAGAAGGAAGGTACCAGGCACCGAAGAAGACTCATTTGGGGAAAGCTTCTTAAAAAAAAAATTCTATTGATTTCAGAGAGGAAGGGCGAGGGAGAGATAGAAACATCAATGATGAGAGAGAATCATTGATTGGCTGCCTTCTGGACACTCCCTACTGGGGATCAAGTCCCCAACCTGGGCATGTGCCCTTGACCAGAATCGAACCTGGGACCCTTCAGTCCGCAGGCCGACGCTCTATCCACTGAAGGGAGAGCTTCTTATGGGTACAACACCCCCAGGCCCCCTGGTGCGGCCGCTGTCCCTGGTCCTGACAAAACCCAGGGCCTGGCCGGGGGATCAGTTCCCCCAAGAGGCGCTGGGCTGCCAACAACGACTTGCGAGCGGGGACGGTCTGCCAGGAGGCAGGCAGCCACCGCGGCCA